CATTGCAGCTGCAGTCTTTGGCTGCAGGCAGTGACCCTGGGTGGTTTGCCTAAAGAGAAGGGAGGTTCTTTGAGCTCTTCTCAGCTGTCTAGGTGACTTTGGTTAGGGTTTCTTTACTGTGTCAGAGGGACAGGGCGTAAAGCAGAGTTGAACAGAACAGAGACCAGAGGAGCAGAGGAAGAAAGTGGGTCGTCACCTGACATCAGCACGAAGATGTGGCTTTTGGCTCCACGTTTACTCCACGTATTAAGGATTTTGTTGTTTGGGTTTGTTTTTCCATTGTTTTGAGATGCAGAGCCCTGGGCCCAGGAGGCTCTAGGCACCGGAGGGGAGGTGATCTGGGTGAGTCCCGGTGAGCAAGGTGAGCATTGACTCCGGGACAGGACTAGATGGTCTTTTCCAGGTGTTGTGGTGAATCTGTGCACATGCTTTGTTTCTCGTGTTTTCCAGAGGTTCTACCACCTTCTAACAGACAGTCTGATGGTTCAGGGCCCCTGCGGGTAAGAGGTGACTGTGGAGGAGAGGTAGGTAGGAGCTACCCCAGGAAAGCCATCCTTTCAGGCAGTATCTCAGTGTGAACATTTGCCTTTGGCTTTTTTACTCTGCACAGAATGTGTGCAGCCTCAGAGGGCCGGAGCCACTTGCCAGTTTAGGTTTGATGGTCTTCAGCTGTCCTCATCAGTAGTCTCCTACTACTACGAGGCTCATCAATTAAAGCTGAACCTTTTCCAGTTGCAGGTGCCCTCCTGCCTGCCTTTGGCAAAGGAGGAGCATTGAGGTTGAGTCTGGGAGGTAGTGAGGAGGTGCTGGGGTCTCCCTTACTTTCAGGAACACCCGGTAACTTTTTTTCTCACTCCCCCAGGTACTCACACGGTGACGGCAGCAGCCTCCGACTGGGGTCAGAGCCAGTGGCCCGAGAACCTCTCAGCTCAGGGGAGGGTGAGTAGCCAATTGCGGGGTTATCTCCCAGGTGCTGCCCAACTCTCGTGTCAGTTTCTGTTTTCTTTCTCACAGCCGACCGAGTCAGGGATCACAGGACCCCGTGAGCCAGCCGGGCGTCCTTCCTTGGCATCCAAGATGGATTCACATCCCCATCTGTGGGAAAGATAGGTGGAGGACTAGCACCTGGAGAGGGGATGAGAGCTGGGTCCAGTTTTATGGCATCTGGCTAACCTTTGGGAGCAGATAAGCAGTTGAGATGAGTCAGGGAGGCAGCAGGAGGAGCAGGGATCCTCTGTTGCTTTAGAAATCCCCTTTAAGTTTGTGTGTATCTCGCTCAGGTATCCCAGAAGATGACAGCCACAGCGTGTGACTCCAGTCAGAGCCAGTGAGCTCATTTAGCAGCTGGGCTTCAATGGGATAAGAGCTCTCCCTTTCTTTCATTGAATGGGATTTCTCAAGCTATTCCTGCTTTATTGAAGCATTAGCTTTGGTATCCAAATAAGCAGAGCTGTTTATGGCAGTAAAGAGGGTTACACTCAAATGCAGGGTTTTTAAATTGAATAATTTTGTGTGCTGTGTTGGTAAGGTGCTTTTCTAATTTGTTATCCTTTTTTCTTTTCCTTAGGAGTCTTGCATCTTTTGGGATCTCCCAATCATTTCAACTGCAGCTTGGTATTTTTTCACCAGTGTTATCCTGTCCTCAGGTGAAGCTGCTCTGTGTTGAAGATGGCTACAGACCCCCAGGTTTGCAAGTAGTCAGTAGAGGGTTACAGCCCAGAGATGGAGGGAGGGCTGGGGTACCATCTTAGGGATTGCCAGGGGTGTTTTGAAGGAAGTATGGGTGGCAGATCTTGTGTCTGGTTTTTTTTCTCACAGTTGACTCCGAGTACTCTCCCGATGGCAGGAACCTCTGAGCCAGCCCAGGTGCACCTCCTCTGCATCAAAGATGGATTCTCGTCCCCAGCTCTTGGCAAGATAAGTGCAGGGCAAAGACCCAGAGAGGGGTTGGGACTCGGTGCAAGTGTGTGCCTCACCTGGAGGGATTTTTGAAATTAGTAGGATGCAATGGGTATTTTGTAACAGGTTATTTGGACACATCCAAGGAAGGGTTTACTTTGTATCATTGGATTCACGTGTGCAGGACAGAGCAGTTCCGGTCTGTGTCACGTCCTCTGTCTCATCCATATTTTGTGTCCTTTGTCTCTTAATTGTGTCCCATGGTGTGTGTCATCACAGGTGCGGGGTGTCTCACTTGGGGTCAGCCTGGAACTGCTCTGCCCTGCTCCGTGGATCAGTGGGTAGATAGAATATTGCTCAGAGTCTCCCATCAACATGTCAGTTACCTCAGGCAGTGGAGCCGATGGCTGTACGGTCCTGCCGGGTGGAGCGGGTGTACATAACTGGTGTGCCATCATTATAGCCGAGTGTTGTGGAGCTGATGGTACTTGGACAGCGGGGCCTCGCAGCTGGGTTGTCATTTGTATTCTTGTAGGCTGCGGTCAGAGTTCTCACTCGCTCAGTGGAAATGAGTTAAGTGGTTAAGATCTCAGTGACCATGTGGGTGACCTGACTAACCCTTTGTTTTTTGTTGTTGTTTTTTTTTTTCAGATAAGCGGACACAATGTACCCCAGACCGAGACCAGTTGAAGCAGCCTGGGAAGAAGGTTGTATTAGGTGTTGGATGCAGGATGTCAGTTTTAGCCACAGGAGTCCTTTATCTTGTGCCTTTTTGTTCTTTATTTTCCAGATGGGGCCCAATTGGTCTCGAGGGGTAGCGGCTCAGCAGGGAGACGAGCGAGGTGAGAATTTTACTCCCCAGCCAAATTTGGAGTTAGTTTGAGGATGTTGTCTATGTGGTCAATCTCTGCATATATGTTGTAGCTGTTTAATTGTTTTTCCAGGCGATACACAACCCTTTGCCCGTCTGCTGAAGGTGCCGAAGGTCCATCCTATAAGAGATCAAGCTGAAGGAACTGAGATAGGCAGTATGTCAGCACAAACCTCCACGTCCATGTTGTCTCTCAGCGGCCGTCTGTCCACTTCAGGGTGTGTAGCAACGCTTCGACCTGGAGTCTGATGGTGTTTAGAGGTTTTTGGCTTTGCTTGTGAGCCATCCCTAAATGTTTGAGAGCTCAGTGTTTGAGCCTTTACCCCTTTCATTTGCAGGGGAGGCCTTGGGAGCAGCTGAAAAGGGAGGAGCCTTCTAGGTGAGTCGGGGAGGCAGCAGGAGGAACAGGGATCCACTGCAGCTTCAGAAATGCCCGCTAATTTTGTCTTTCACTCGCTCAGGTATCCCAGAAGATGACAGCACGTTGTCCAAGTCTGGTCAGAGCCAGTGACACAAGGACCTGCCTGGGTGACGGTGAGTAGAGGGATCACGGGGGCTTGGGTCACATGCCACACTACTCAGATCTTGAGTCTGGTTTTCTTTCTCACAGTTGACTGCTAGTGGTCTCCTGATGGCAGAAACCTCTGAGTCAGCCCAGGTGCCCCTGCTCTGCATGAAAGACGGATTCTTGTCCCCGGCTGTCGGCAAGATAAGTGCAGGGCAAAGACCCAGAGAGGGGTTGGGAGTCGGTGCAAGTGTGTGCCTCACCTGGAGGGATTTTTGAAATTAGTGCAGTGCAATGGGTATTTTGTAACAGGTTATTTGGACACATCCAAGGAAGGGTTTACTTTGTATCATTGGATTCACTTGTGCAGGACAGAGCAGTTCCGGTCTGTGTCACGTCCTCTGTCTCATCCATATTTTGTGTCCTTTGTCTCTTAATTGTGTCCCATGGTGTGTGTCGTCACAGGTGCGGGGTGTCTCACTTGGGGTCAGCCTGGAACTGCTCTGCCCTGCTCCGTGGATCAGTGGGTAGATAGAATATTGCTCAGAGTCTCCCATCAGCATGTCAGTTACCTCAGGCAGTGGAGCCGATGGCTGTACGGTCCTGCCGGGTGGAGCGGGTGTACATAACTGGTGTGCCATCATTATAGCCGAGTGTTGTGGAGCTGATGGTACTTGGACAGCAGGGCCTTGCAGCTGGGTTGTCATTTGTATTCTTGTAGGCTGCGGTCAGAGTTCTCACTCGCTCAGTGGAAATGAGTTAAGTGGTTAAGGCCTCGGCGACCATGTGGGTGACCTGACTAACCCTTTATTTTTTGTTGGTTTTTTTTTCAGATAAGCGGACACAATGTACCCTAGACCGAGATCAGTTGAAGCAACCTGGTAAGAAGGTTGTATTAGTTGTTGGATGAAGGATGTCCGTTTTAGCCACAGGAGTCCTTTATCTTGTGCCTTTTTGTTCTTTATTTTCCAGATGGGGCCCAATCGGTCTCGAGGGCTAGCGGTTCAGCAGGGAGACGAGCGAGGTGAGAATTTTACTCCCCAACCGAATTTGGAGTTAGTTTGAGGATGTTGTCTGTGTGGTCAATCTCTGCATATATGTTGTAGCTGTTTAATTTTTTTTCCAGGCGATACACAACCCTTTGCCCGTCTGATAAAGGTGCCGAAGGTCCATCCGATAAGAGATCAAGCTGAAGAAACCGAGATAGCCAGGATGAGGCAGTACGTCAGCACAAGCCTCCACATCTGTGTTGTTTCGCAGCGGCCGTCTGTCCACTTCAGGGTGTGTAGCAACGCTTCGGCGTGGAGTCT